AAGGCTTTCGATTTAATGCTTTACCGAGCGCTGTGGAGGAGGGTTTATTATCTCAAATTCAAATCTCGTTCTTTATAAGATATCTTATAACCGAATTATATAAGATATCTCATTTAATTTTGTTTATAAGATATCTTATATATTATATAAGATATCTTCTAAAAGATATAAGATATCTCATTTAATTTTCTTTATAAGATATCTTATATCTTTTATGAGATATCTTATATAATATATAAGATATCTTATATCTTTTATGAGATATCTTATAAAGAAAGGTATATAAGATATCTTATAAAATATATAAGATATCTCATTTATTATATAAGATATCTTATAAAGTATATAAGATATCTCATAAAGTATATAAGATATCTTATATAATTAAATAAGATATCTTATATAATTTGGTCAAGTACTGGATCAACATTGCTCCATGCATAAATGACAACTTGGCTTGCCATAGGCCTATGTTAGCTATATAGGGCGCTATATCAAATGTTGTATATTATTATTATTATTATTATTATTATTATTATTACCTGACGATTTGTGATGTTCACGTAACTGCTTATTGTTAAAATATATAGCATTTTGATGTCTTGACCTTAACATACAGTATATCGTCCTAATACACAGTTTTGGAGCACACCAAGCAATATACGTGTAACGCCTTTGTCATAATTAATAAGCCATACATATATACTGAACAAAAAAAGAAAATTAGCCAAACGTGACGATGCCATTGTGTGACTTTGTGAGCTTCTTTAGTCCAAATCACGGTGCGTGATCAAGCCAAGCCGGAGTTTTATAATCTCAACGGATACTCTACGTTCAGCCACATTAATTTTCCACGTTGGCATTTTAATTTCGTCATTGACTGAGATGCCACGCTTAACGCAAATTCAGAGGGGTAGAGCAATTGCGATGTTCATGGATGGCCATAGCCAAACTCCTGTCGCACGGCAGTTTGGTGTTGGCCCGTGTACAATTAACCGTCTCTGTACACGATTCCGTGCTACTGGGTTAGTTTCCGATCGTCCCAGGAGCGGGCGTCCGCGTGTAACGACCGCACGACAAGACAGGGCGATTCGATTGTCACACTTGCGCAACAGATTTAAGACTGCTGTAGAGTCTGCGTCGCATACCTTAGGTACTCATGGCAGACCCATTAGCCCTCAAACTGCCAGGAACCTCTTGCGTGCCGAGAGAATCATTGCGCGCCGACCTTATGTCGGGCCACCTCTGACACCACGGAGGCGGCAAGTGCGTCTTGACTGGATGCGTAGACATGGCCCAAATAGGTTTGGGATGCGTCGATGGAGACGTGTGATGTTCACCGACGAGTCCAGACTCTGTCTGTATCGCTCAGACGGAAGAAAAAGGGTATATCGCGGATGCGGTGAGCGTTTCGTCGACGCATGCGTGGTTGAACGCGATAGATTCGGTGGGGCTTTTGTAATGGTTTGAGGAGGCATCTCCCATGGAGTAAAATCCCCCTTAGTGGTCATGGATCAAAACGTCAATGTCGTTCGATACAGAGACCAGATCCTCCAACTACATGTCCTTCCACTTCTTAGACGTCATAACCTAATTTTCCAGCAAGACAATGCTCGACCGCATGTTGCCAGAGTATGTCGTGATTTTCTCACGGCAAACAACGTTCAGCCTCTGGAATGGCTCCCATATAGCCCCGACATGTCTCCCATTGAGCAGCTGTGGGATGAGCTGGACAGGCGTATTAGGAAACGTCAAAACCCCCCCAACTAACCGCGCCCAGTTGATCGCAGCATTAACACAAGAATGAAACAACATTCCCTTAAGGCGAATAAATGTTCTCATGAATTCAATGCATAAGAGAAACCGTGCAGGGATTCGTGCAAAAGGTGCCCACGCCAGGTACTGAAGTGTCATTTTGTTTTTCGCGGTATCCCACTTTGAGTAACTACTGATGACACGAGTGACGTCACACAGACTTTTTTCTACAGTATTGTAAAGAGTAGACTTGTCCCGTCATATTGATATAAAATTTGGTACAAATTTCCCAAAATATCATAGGCTATTGATTGCATAATTTAAATGTGCGTGTCTTTTTTTTGTTCAGTATATGTAACAAATTTATATGTCATTTAAATCCTGTAGCTATTTCTATGAAGTAACCATTGGCATAATTTACCATTAAATACAATGAAAACTCAAAGTACTCCCAAAACGAGTTTATCTTGAACGACACCAATCTACAAAAACTGCTAAGTTCAGAAAGGAAAATTGCCTTATTGTCAAAAAAGCATAAAATAAATTTTACAAACCTTACAATGTACTGCAGAATATGGTCATCAAAGTAATTATGATGATGATGATGGTGATGATGCAAATATTAGCCCAGAAGGAAAAAGTAAAGATGAAACTAAAAACACATACTAGACGCAATATAAATCTTTGTCATTGTAAGCTCTGTATTGTGCACCATATGGAACAAACCACCATACAACTAGTTTCAAACAGGTTTAAAGGTGCAGTTATCTGTTTGTCCTGCGTTCATCTTTAAAGATACAAGTGGATTCCTTGAAGGCTGCAGCTATCTCTTTCGAGTGGTGGGACGGTTCGTAATAAACACACTATTTATCATTTAATTTAAAATTATCCAGGTCTTCTCTGATATTTTTTTTTAATATCATTAAATGAAATACTATAAGCACACTCCACTGTTGTTTAAGTAGCTTGGAACAATTTGGATTCGTTTTCGGCACCTAGCAACACAGACGAGTCGTAGAGGGACGACACAGCTGTATGATGCGATGTACGACATTTTGGGCATATTGTTATCAATTATCACATTGTAAAGTTGCAATCCCCTGTGTGAGTCAGGATTACCTTTATCTATACAGATTATCATTCTCTATCTTGTTAATTTTGCGAACAACCAAGCTGTGCCAGACACCAGCAGATTTCCTTCCGATGCCTCTGATGTCCTTCTTGTGTAGCATCCTCGATAACCAGGGGTAACGCTCACTTTCGCTCTCTACACCCCTGGAATTGTCATAGCAAAATTGAAGGCACGAAGATAGCTGTTTGATTGGTCTCGGGAAAAAAACCTGACCAATCGCTAGGCTGATACCTGTCCTTTGAAGATTACAAAGGAGAGACGCATGACTTCAAAGTCTGTCAATTTTTACCGTTTTTGACCGCGAAATTCTTTTGATGTAAATCAAATGATCGAACTAGTCTCCTCGTCTCATTCACAAGGTGGCGCACACTGTGTCTTCAATTTTGCTATGACATATATTCCAGGGGTTTAGAGAGCGAAAGTCAGCGTAACCCCTGGATACCGAGGATGGGGGTTGATTCACTTCGGGAACCATTTAATATATATAAGTTGTTTCTAAGATACTCTTAATCACATCAAAAGTCCAATCAGGTCTAGGCATACATCTCTGGTCAAATATAATGCCTGTATATTACTGCCAAGCTCTAATGTGATTAATAGGAAAAGGAAATTTGATCTTATTTTAATCAAATATTTAATTAAAGTGATCAATATTGACATATTGTAAGTAAACGTCATGATAAAAATATGACCCAATATATTTCATATTCAGGTGTACAGTAAACTTACAAGACGCTGTGGACATGTACAAAAAACATACATTTATTTCTTTTATAACACTGGTTTATATTATAAATCAGTCTGAAAAACTAGAAATGAACCGAATATGAAATGTATAAAAAATGTACACATCATACATATAATTTAGGTTGAACACATGATTTCGTTAAATGCGTATTTCAATAAAAATCACTATTACTTACATAAGTCCGATGAATGCTACTTAAAACTAAAAATATATAATTGCATAACGTAAGTTGAAAAAGGTCAATAACATCATTTAACAAAACACATTTTTGTGACATTCCGTCATTTAGTTGTGCCAGAGACGTCTATATCTTAATATAAACGTCTCTGGTTGTGCTAATGCTGAATAGACACAGGATATTCAGGGAAATAATTATCAGCCGGACAGCATTGTACACTGCATAATGATTTTGGTACTTTAGAAACAATTACAGAGTTTACAAGCCACATAGTCGTCCACTGTTAGCTGCCAGTACCCAATGACGTTGATGCAGCGAATAAATTGATGGTATACACTCTATGTAATTTCCCCTCATGAACGCAAACAAGGGACATAGAAATATGAAGCATTTGTCACACTTTGCCTAAAACGACAATGCTTGGAAAACTTTCAACTTGCAATGTGTACATTATAATGCGCGATATATTATAAATACATATTAAGGCTTTTGTTGACTGAATTCTTAAATATTCGGCTGAAGGTGAACCTCTTACAAAATGCAAAACAACATCAAATAACAACCAGAAATTAATCTTTTGGAGGCAGACAACATGAACTGGGATAGAGTTTGTTACACAAACTTGGCTGTATAGAGTGTCTTTTTTTGGTTGGGAGATACATTATCCAAATACTATTGCGTTTTTACATCATTAAAAGGCATCAACCTCAACGTAAATATACGGTAACATAAGGCTACATACATTATGCCAACAAAAATGCAATACCACATTGCATAAATTGTGTTTTTTAGACAAATGCAAATTTAAAAACGAAATGGATATATACAAGTTTCAATCCATTTCAAACAATTAAACATATATTGCCTCATTAAGACTTGCTCCCAGATGAGAAGGAAGCCCATTGCCAATTCTATAACACAAAATGTACACGACGCACGCTTCTTTATACTGTACCTCCGTGTTACACTATCTATATAATCCACTCTATGTAAGAAAACAGGTTCTGTTGCTGTCCCTAACTGTCCACTTAAGCGCCGATTTTGTCCATGTCTACTAATTTGTCTTTGTTTATTGACGCAATGGTTTTATGTTTATTTTAACTCAAAATGTATGTTTTGTTACTTTAACTCATGTTTTAAGATGTTTTTTACCCTTGTTGGCTGACGTTCTTGCACATTCCTAATTATTTTTTCAAGAGATCGTTCTGGCACTGTACTTTTTGTGTATATTCTTGGATTATTTTTTTCGCCAATAGCACGAGTCATTGAGATGTTCACTCGATACATGAAAGTCCTGCAAATCACCAATTACCGAATACCTTTTTTCATCTGAATACTGCATCAGGCAAAAGTTACTAGTTTATTATTATTTATCACTTAACGAGCTTCTTCATGATGGAAATGCTAGATCCTCTGTAACCACTCCCAAAGTGATTCCTGCAATCAACAGTGAAATAGTGCAATTTAAACATGAGAACCTCTTACAATGCACATGTAAATAATGTGAGACACGATACAAGGCTTTCACATAAAATGACATTATACTTGTGTAAAGAAAGGATCCCTTTCTTAGCAGGGTATTATGTTCTTTACGCTGCTGCGCACTAACATTTAGTGTAGGACTAGTATAGTATATGTCCCAGGCTTAACACTAGAACTTCTTTTACTTAAAATTGCTAACTAAAAATCTCTAAAATGCATTACACGACGCATTTTATTTTCAGTACATCTACAGAAAGTTGCGGTACAAATAATATTTATTAATTTGATGGTAATTCTTTCAGTTAATGGACACCTTTGGACACTTTAATTAAATACTCTATTGCGGTGTCAGGTTGTTTCGCGACCTTTTTCGGGTCGTTTCGGGCCATGTCAAAAGTCGTTTCGGAATTTTTCATTTAATTTTTCTGTAAAAACCATTGTCTTTTTCTTAAACATATTTTATTGACAAATAAATTTGACTGGATTGGGTATTATTTAGAAGTGAAAATGTTATATGTCCCGAAACGACTTGATTAAGTCCTGACATTCCTGTGTTATGTCCCGAAACGTCTCTGGGACGTCCGAAACGACTTGTTACCGAAATGACCTGTTACTGAAACGACTAGCATTCCTCTTTTACTACATCAAACTGACAGTTAGAACAGTGTCAGGTGATTTATACATACCAGTGGTTCAGATAGTGGAACAGTTTGTAGAGCTCTAGTCGGTCAGAGTAACCCGGCTGTTTGGGTAATAATTTGAAATAGGAGTTGAAAAAACGCTCACTGAATCCACCAAACATCTGAGCAATGGCAAGATCATATTCTGAATGTCCATAGAAACTAGCAGGGTCAAACACAACTGAAATAAACCAAATCATGACCACGCCACTGTTATAAGCTAAAGCAAAAGTGTAGGTTACATATTCGCCATCCTTTTCCCCTTACCTCAAACAAATCAGTTTTAAAAATTCTAGTTTGTTTTTATGGTCTATTCCAGATATGTTTAGTTGGGACTGCGATTTACCTGGTACTGCGATTTACCTGGTACTGGGATTTACCTGGTACTGCGATTTACCTGGTACTGGGATTTACCTGGTACTGCGATTTACCTGGTACTGGGATTTAGCTGGTACTGGGATTTACCTGGTACTGGGATTAAGACATTTTCAATAAGAATGTATGGGATATGAGGTTTTAAATATTGTCAGAATATGTGTTAAGGACAGATCTAGAGGGGATCAAGTGTGGGTGTGGGGGCCACAGAAAAGTATGGCTCATATGGCCTACATCACACACCTGGTTTGTTATTTCCTATTTCATCATATACTTGCCCTATAAGATATTTAACACCTGTTACCATGCATATACTAGCGCTTTAACTCTTCACGTTAAAGACCCAAGGCATTTTTCATAAATGCAAGACGAACAACAGATGACTAACACTGCACCATTGCATAAGCTCACAGGCACATCATGTGAGGTACAGTGTAAACTTCAACATTAAATCATACCAATTATACATAATGGGGATATGCAAAATGATGAAAATGATAAATGTGTTATATCACGTCAAAATACATTTAGCGTCACGTTCAATCATAAGTATGTAGTTCAACATAGAAACATAATTCAAACAAACTACCTACCTGGACAATCATCCAATTCACCTGCATTTCCACCCCAAAGGTCTCCATGCATTAAAGCTGGTTTTATAACAAGTCCCTCAAAGAATTTGGGTAACTGTAGCTGAAGTTTTGACCAAAGTTCTCTAGCTTCTTTATCATTGTACTGACAAAATAGATACAAAATACATTATAAAGTATCCATTTCTATCTGTTGAGAAAAAGCAATACTATTTATCGAAGCAAAAACTTTCAGTTAAAAGCATAGCTACAATAATGTTGTGACTAGTTTTGTTGTGCAGATATAGATTAAAAAATAAAATCATTCAAATTGTTTGTTTGTTTTGTGTTTTACATCCTATTAACAGCTATGGTCATTCAAATAACCGTTTACAATGTACATGTACACAAATGTACCAATACTTGATAATTCATGGCCGTATGTGGTCATCTTTCTGATAACTACCGGTATATAACAAATATCACCCAACGTAAATGTTATTCATCTTGTTATTTATAATACTCTCCAACTTACCTCCTTCTCTATCTTCTTTAATTGGAAATCTAGTTTGTTGGCGTAAAATGACTAAAAAGTAAAATAAATTCACAGATGATTATTATCAAGTTATTAAAAGAAAACAGCATTTACTACCACTTTGAAGATGTATTTAAAACAATGAAGTTGTATGTTGCATTAAAAAGACATCAAACCCGTAACAAACCTCACTGAGGTACTCACTTGCCATGACTTGTCCCACGTGTTGTCCTGGGGGAGGTATCCACAACAGGTCACCACATCAAACCCAAACCCAGACACATACTGGCCCTCCTCTGACCTTCCTACATATCCCTCGACCTTCACAACCCTCCTCTCTGCCTCAGAGTTAGACAGATGCAATCTGAAATCAAATCCTCAGCTTCGTTAACTCGTTCAACGCTGAAGACACATTTGAACTCCTCAAATTAAATGGTTTGAATAGTTCAGTATGCAATTTCGGGGGTTGCATTAGTCAAATGTTTCATATGTACATATATGTACCCAGTGATAGTCAATGATAAAAGCATTTCTACATAAAATTCCAAGGCCCCACTAGCTAATGTAATAGTGGAAAATCTCATGGTGCCAAATGTTGTGTTTATTATTTCAGTCAGAACATGTGCATACATTAACCATGCTGACACACAATATGAAAAATCTATAACAGCCACCAGAACCATTGACAATGTGAATATTGTACATCATGACAAATCTTTACTCTTCCACTTAAAGGTAATTGTAATAGTGAAACCTTTCAAAAGTTTACTCCACATGAACAAATATTGATGTTGCTGTGGAAAGTAAAGTGTTTATGGTAAACACAAGTTCAAAAAACCTAAACTAACCTCAAAACTATGTCACGGAATGATGAAATACCTTGCATTTTACATTTACATTATGGTTTGTTATGCATGAAAATGTGCTCAAGGCTAATTCAAATTATGGAAGATGTACACAATGTGATATGGTCAAAGGGAGATAATCTATACTCATTACCTAGCCATTGCCTCTCCTAAACTGCCAGCATGACGAGATAGATGTTTGATGTCCAAATACTCCATTGCCAACATGGCTCCACCCTTTGGATTGTCTATCACCTGTTTCCAAAAAGACAGTTAATTCCCAATTCCAGGTCAACATCACATCCAACCAGATATTAAATGTATCATTTTTCCTGTACAAATGCATGTGTCAAGAGCTCTACGATAGAAGAAAAGTGCTAGATGTGTTAAGATTTATGAGCCCAAATTCTAGGAGACGAGTGTTATATATGCATTAGAGTTCTAGAAGGGAGACTTATTCCATCTGTGTCAACATTCTATGATAGGAGACCAGTTCTATCTGTGTCTATCACTCTATGTTCTATGATAGGAAACTACTGTTTTCTCCATATGTATCTGTTCCCCAAGTCAAAGGATAGAAGAATAGTTCTGTGTCAGAGTTATATAATAGCAGACTTCTGTGTCAGAGTTATATAATAGCAGACTTCTGTGTCAGAGTATATAATAGCAGACTTCTGTGTCAGAGTTATATAATAGCAGACTATCTGTTTCTGACTTTGAGTCAGAGTTCTGTGATGGGAGTCCTGCCATTCCGTCTTTGCGTATTGCAGAGTTATCTTCTCTTGAGAGCAGGTATTGATTGTTACGTCATTTGTTTGTGAGAGTAACGTCATCAATTTTTGAGAAAACGACGTAATTTTCTCACACGAACCAATGACGTAACAATCAATACCTGCTCTCAAGAGAAGATAACTCTGCAATACGCAAAGACGGAATACGATATGTCAGAAGAATTACCTTCAATACATTGTATTATGGTGAACAGAAGAAACTACCACCTTTAAAAATATCCTCACTCTAGCCAAAGTATTGAACCCTGGGAGCCTTGTTGATTGCAGCTTCAGAATGTTTGGGGTGTGTAACACTATACCTTCATAGGTTTAGGGACTCTGACAACACCTGTAGCATGCATGGCCTGTAGACTGGCGTATTCTCCATCGAACATCAGGCGAGCCTGGATCAGAAATCGTTAACAAAACAGATAACATCAATATACATGCAAGTGTTACATGACTTATATGATACACCTGAATACTAATTTTAGAAAAACATGTTACACTCAATTCATTACGTTTTCTCCAATCATTCACAGAATTATCTCCCATTTCGCCTATTCAGAATTCTTTTGTCACCCCCTGTGGTAGGATTTCTCTGTCACCCTTAAGGTACATAATAAAGATAGGTCATCAAAAGGAACAACAGTATGAAGTCAGGGGGAAAATCTGACATGACCTCACAATTACCCTCTCGATGGGAGAGGTCATGTGCAAATGAGGAGAAAAACAGACTACAAAAACAAGTGTTTTCAAACAAAGTATTGGAATAATGGGAGAAAAATAATCATCCCCTGCCTTGAGGGTATAACAAGGATACCTCCAACCCTCGGGTTGATTATCAGACTGGTAATTCTTGGCAGAGCCTCGGGTTAAACAACCAAATAAAACACCCATCGGGTCGGAGATTTCTCTGTTATACCCTCTAAGAAGGGTAAGATTCTATGAATCAATTTTCATTTTGTCTTTTTGCTGAAATTGATTCAATAGTAACTTAAATAATAGGGATGATCTGTACTTTAAGTAGCGAACCTCAGAAGCAGTGTTTGTTTTAACGTAGATTTTAGTGCCCTGCCCAGTCTTGTACACCACACCTTGGTTGATACAACCCCCTCCTTCAGCTCCCATGTTCTTAAGGTCCAGTAGGCCGAGCTCCCGCCTGATAATTTCATCCATGTCCTGGTCAGACATGACAACACAGCTGATGAAGAGCCTAGAAAAACAAGCACACAATGAAGTGTTTGATTTGACTTAGACTATCACTACATTAGAATTCTCGGACAACGTTTATGAAATTGTAAAACTTACTTCAATTGTATATGTACATGTATATAGCATCTAGTGACCACTTTCTGAGCCCTTATGGCAAAATTAACAAATGAAGAAGTAATAGAGCCAAATTAAAATGCAACATACTTCACACTTTTTATAAACTATGTCTTATCTTTAATTTGTCATGCACTCAATGAACCATGTCGCTATATATGTTTCCAGTTTCTATGCCCATCTGTTGATAGCGCATAATCTATTTAATCTCTCAAAATTGTAGAAATGTATTTGAACGCTATTTGCACGATATGGATCAGTATACAACATACAAGAACAACCTTTTGATATAGCCTGTACATGGTATAGCCAGACGGACCAGACGACATAATTGTTTTAAGTAGAGTATGATGTTTTGTGGCATATAAAATATAAATAATAAAAAAGTGACATTTTCAGTCTATAAATTATCTAATACAAAGGTACATAATGTTACAGTAAAACAGCTACTTTTCTGCTGGTTATGCGAGTAAAATAGTGTGAAACTACTTGTTTTCACCTAATTTTTCCAACATCCTGCCAGACATCATTTTTTTTACTTTCACTAAATCAACAAATTTGCGGTAGGCCTATATAATGTCTGTATGTACAGCGGGCCAGTGATGCACAAAAAGGACGGTGTATTTTTAATCAATGTGATCACGACATAAACACATTTTGCAAACATGACAGTCATTCATAGTTGGAGAATACCTTACAGAAGTGTGGATTCGTGTCTTTCACCACTATGAATTGTGTAAAAGATGTATATATTTTAAACACCGCGAACTGCACCCCTTCATATTTACTGTCAAAATGTCAAAATGAAACCAATTTAAAGCGTTATACTGACGTAGATTTTCCGGGGTAAATAATAATAAATGAAATGATATTCCGGAAATCAAATATATATATGTATTACGGGTTTTCAAGATTCATAAAGTAAAGTGACTTTGCTGAAATTAACTTATTCAAAGACGTAAGGCATTTTATCAGTATAGAGATTTTGTTGTGGGCTCATCACATTTCCTAAAAATATATAGAACTTTGGAAGCAATTTGGTTTTGGAATATTCCTGATTTCGTTTGAAAACTGACATTTGAACACGTATTTTTTGTACTCTTTGCCTCTAATAGTACGAATAATAATAAAAAAAATAAACCTGTGCAAGCAAATTGTCCCCCACCTGCAGCACCTATATATATATGTAGCTATAGCATTTAAAATCTTAGAAATAAGGTTTCTGGAAGCCCAAAAATTTCTCTCGATCCGCCACTGAAATAGCTACCTTTATATCGACCATACATGGGAAAGTATACTGTGTAAAGGAGCCAACTCTATATGGACCGTATGAGTGACAGTATACTGTGTAAAGGAGATAACTTTATATCGACCCTACAGGTGAAGTACACATGTACATTGTGTAACTCTATATCGACCGTACGGGTCAAATTATCCGCAACAAATTAAAGTGTTAATTAATTTGACACTTTGTTCACCATATTGTCTAAATATACAAAAATTAAGGGGTGTAAATTAACTTTCGCACTACACATCATTCGTATCACACGGAATATTCGATAACCAGATAAAACAAATTAAATCCGGATTGATGATAGTAATGATAATAATATAGACTCAGCAAAAATGTCTGTTATAGATATCAACAGAACAAAGTTCAATGATTTGCTTTATAATATGACTGATTTTCGTTTTGGGCGATTGTAGTTTATTTAAGATTATTTATACATTTCCAACATGGTTAGTTTATTCAATAAACTTGCTTTAATATTTTGTTCTTGGCCACCGTGATCTCCGATTAGCTGAACCATACATGTATATAGGGTTAGATGACCTCTGTTCTATTTTGTGGATTGCAATAAAGTTGGTGTATTTATGGTGTTCTTCAAGACGGGGAAAATCAACATCTTCCGCAAAATGGCCGCCACAGACTAGCTTCTGATTGGTCGAAGTTTATGTATTTACTAATTTCGTTCAACTAGGTTTATAATATGAATACCATGCTGAAATCACCTAGCACAGTATTCCACTTGGTAACATAATTCTGACAACAGGTTACCATTTGTAGCGATTACCCTTGATACTGAAAGTTTAGCAGGGAATAAAAACTACCAATAAAAACTTTGGTGTGATCTGGCATTGGGCAGCTATAACCCATGGCCATTACCTACCCACTTCGGCGAACGCTGAACAGTAGCTATAATAGTTGTAGTGACAGACGACGCTAGCACCTATGCTCAACACTAAGGTCAGAAGTGCAAAGCTTTAAGTAAATCTGGAAGGTCCGCAGGACATAAAGGCAAGTCCCGTATTCTAGTGGAGGTCCACCATTGGTGGTCTCTCACAACATGCAGTGGCCATGGTATCAAAGTAGTATGGTACTGTATACGTAGTTACGATTGGTCTCGACTTATCGAATAGTTATCAATGAGTGTTAATAATCTTTCTGGTGTTTTCCTTCCGTTAACTACTGTATGTGGGCGAAGTGTAGCTTCCTGTCCTCCCGTGCATGCCATCTAGAATGCTAGACTGTTTTAAGCTTAGAACTACCGTAGTAGCAATTCTTACTCATGTAAGTTCGGGTGAAGAATAAAACATGTACGTCGACGCGAGGTTTAAGCGGAGAATCAGATTTTTGTAGATACGCCCTATACGCACAAAGAAACAATAAGCCACTGGAGTTCTCTCATCACTTTGGAATCAAACTTGAAAGCGTTTAAAAAGCAACGGTATTGCTTCATAATACCTTGTGTTATATCATTCGTACTTTATCCTTGTATTGAGGTACGGCTCATCGATAGCTAAAGTCATATAGGGTATCAAGTGCCGAAAAGCCTATCCTTGAACCTTTTCATCTTTGACTCATAACTTTTTAACACAGTTAATAAACACAGTTACACTTATTCATGCTTAAGGTAAAGACATTTTATTCATTATAAAATGTACATAATTGATGTTTGAAATTATCATAAATCAACAGGCATATGTACCCACATTTTACGTTTTTCCTCATTTGTCATAAAACTATTTACAAATATATATAAATACTGATCTGTAGATGAAGCTATCACCTCTTCGGTTAGCAAAAATCATGAAATCATGAAATCATACCAACGTCATTTTTATAATGCCGTCATCATCATTATAACATCATCATCCTACCAACCCAGTACATTGAAAAAATAAACATCGTCATCATCTTTACTGGATTGGCTAATCTGTAGATAAAGCTATCACCTCTTCGATTAGCAAAAAAATCCAAAATTAACAATTGCTATATTCAATATATATAAATTCAAAATATTGATAAAAAATGAAGATATCAAAATAGTCAAAAGTGAACTACGTGACATAGTCGATGACAAAATAAGCATTTAATCTCAGGAAAATCGGATGAAACACAGACCATTGAGAGACCAATTATTAATAGATAAATCCCCACTTGGTCATAAAACTATTTACAAATATCTAAAAATACTGATCTGTAGATGAAGCTATCACCTCTTAGGTTAGCAAAATTCATGAAATCATACCAACGTCATTATTATAATGCCGCCATCATCATTATTACAACATCATCTTACCATCCCAGTACATTGAAAAAAACCCACCTCATCATCATTTTTACTGGATTGGCTGATCTGTAGATAAAGCTATCACCTCTTCAATTAGCAAAAATCATGAAATGAAATCATATCAACGTCATTATTGTAATGCCGTCATCATCATTATTACATCATCATCCTACTATCCCAGTACATTGAAAACAACAAACATCGTCATCATCTTTACTCGATTGGCTGATCTGTAGATAAAGCTATCACCTCTTCGGTTAGCAAAAAAATCCAAAATTAACAATTGCTATATTCAATATATATAAATTCAAAATATTGATAAAAAATGAAGATATCAAAAAAGTCAAAAGTGAACTACGTGACATAGTCGATAACAAAATAAACATTTAATCTCAGGAAAATCGGATGAAACACAGAACATTGACAGACCAATTATTAATAGATAAATCCCCACTTAGTCATAAAACTATTTACAAATATCTAAAAATACTGATCTGTAGATAAAGCTATCACCTCTTCGGTTAGCAAAAATCATGAAATCATACCAACGTCATTATTTTAATGCCGTCATCATCATCATTATGAATTATCATCTTACCATCCCAGTATATTGAAAAAAAATAAACATCATCATCATCTTTACTGGATTGGCTGATCTGTAGATAAAGAAATCACCTCTTCGATGAGCAAAAACTCCAAAATTAATAATTGCTATATTCAATATAATTTTTATATATATTCAAAATATTGATAAAAAATGAAGATATAAAAATAGTCAAAAGTCAAAAACGTGACATAGTCGATAAAAAATAAACATTTAATATCGGGAAAATCGGACGTAACACAGAACAATGACAGACCAATTATTGATAGAAAAATCCCGACTTGGTGTTGGATAAACCAGTGAAAGCACTACTTGTCTAGTAAATCACTGATTTACCTTACTTAAAAACTCATACATAATACATAGATACACCCACAACGGGCCCCATACTGATGGTTGGATATTATATAAATGGGACAGTGTGATCTTCTGTATATTATAACACTTAGAATAGACGTCCACTAAAAGGAGTACATCAAACTAATACTAAAACAAACCAAAATAGTTAAAAAAATAAACATGTTGAAATAATAAATATACAGTTGATATCGCTTGGTTTAATTACGTTTAACGTCCTATTTATATCAAGCCTAATAAATCCTTACCATATCAACTTTTTATTGTATCAATGGGAGACACTCTATGAACAGCTTTGGCGTGACCATCGCCCAGATACCACGAACAGATGAAATATGACATAAAGAGATCAAAATGTTTAATTCAGAGAACATGTTTTGAAATGTTGTTTTCACATTGATTTTTGTTTATTTTATGAAATAGTAAGGATGCCAGGATTGTTGTCCATTTTTTTTTTACAATAAAATAAAAGAATCTGCTACAAAAGAGAACACATTAAAAATAGCTTTAAGATATAGAATTAATCAGTTATACTATTCTTTTTCAGTTTGAAAGGCATGTTCGTGCTTGTAGGTAAATATCACGAATGAGAAAAAGTCATATGTACTAAATAGGTGCGAGTTTTCATTCATAATAGGCATCTTTAGTATTACCAAGAAAGTAGGTTTTCCTTATCGATCATAGAAATGTAGGTATCCATACTGACTTTTCTACAGGGTCGGGGTAGGGGGATAGGAATTAATTTTGTTATATTCAATAGATGCTTTAATCACTTATTCATAACTTTTGTTGTAGGATTGCTCACAGTTCTCTAGTTCCATATGAAAACATTATTAGTTTTAAGGGAAAATACTGTTTTTTTCCCTCAAATTCAGCAATGTTTTACTTTGGAAAGTTTCAAGTTAAGGAACCCTTCAAAATTAAGGGATGATCGTGAATGGAGAGCTGTGCTGCCCACACTTTCTCTTACCTTATGGCTCGCTGCTTGGGCTGTCTTATTGTATATAATGACAAACGGGGAGAATTTGGTTCGGAATGGCTTTTTCATTGATAACATAACAAATTATAATTTAAAAAAAATCTAAATGAGAATTGAAATATTTTAATTGAGGGAACTGATTACATTTTTTCACTTGAATGAGTAAATCTAAGCAAAATATTAATTTACCTTAGTAAAGACACTGCTGTGAAATTTTGCCTGGGGCTGTCATTATCTGATCAAGGGACAGCCACAGTATCTTACCTGCAGGGTTTTACTGTGTCCTGATTTACCTGTATACAGCTGTACATTAAACAATGAACCTGATTAATTGGCACGAAATTAATTGCCTGTAACTCACACAAGGTGAGCTTAATCAGGTAACGTCCATCAGAATCCAATACGACAACAGGTGAACGCCTATGAGTTATCACTGTCTTAATTTGCAGGTATAGATATCAAATTGAAAAAATATCTGTCAGCGGGTGGTCATGTTGCACTTACAACATTTATATCTCCCACTTAAATCATGTTGTAACCGTTTAATTGAAATTTGGGGTTTCCTGTGTTTAAAAAACATTCATACTTTAATTTATCTTTTAATAATAGTATACAATATGTCATAATTAGTTAATCACTCATTCAACTTTTTCACTTTTAATGAAGTAAAGGTCATCACCACATGACCAGCTGTATATCTGTTATTTAAATTACCCCGAAGCTGCTGGTGTGGGGAATTCACAGTAGGCCCATTAGAGGAGGGTTGTTTATATCCATGTATATGGCAAAGTAATTAAAATTAAACTGACTCTTAGGATATTTTTTGATCAAACACATCCAGTTTTAAAACAAAATCGATGTTCACATCCACATTTCAGTTAAGTAGAATGACCATAATATTACTATAGCAAATATATTGCTACAACATTAATACGAAATGTGATACCACATGCAATTAAGCTATTTGAAACTGTACTATAATAAACATTTCCCTTTGAATCATACAGGTGTCTATGCATTTTCCTAATCGACAAAAACATTGTTCAGTTTGTCTTGTTTACATATACCCAGTAGACATCATAATAGATATGTACATAATGTAATACTCTGTTAAAAGAATATTCCTTCATCATTTAATTTTCATATCATGAAAGAACCCATTCATTATAAATACATAATTCAAATTTGTACCTCAGTTTTTAAACAAGGGTAAACACCGTAATGCATTGGAGTTAAAACTGGAGTTCACGCTGAAGGGAACTGGAGTGCACTACGATGTTACTGTACAACTATACAATTTCATTTTACGTCGACTACGGAAGCAGTTTCAACCATTCAATTGATAACATTTGTTTGTAAATCTTTTGTTTGGCTACCATCCTTCTTCTAATTCCGCTCACAAAACAAATACATAATGTCCAAAATGTCAGAAATGTTAAAATGAGTACGAAACTATAAATTCAGTTCTTGAAGGTGACTTTGTCCGCTAAACATTCCATTTATCTCATGCTGGTGCAGTCCATTCTTGTGAAAAAATACTCTAAGCTTTATTAGTAGGCATGATTACATACTGGCTGCTCGAAATGGAAATCTGTTGTCTCATTCCCTGTTCTTGATAAACCTCTCTGAATAACATGTCAATTTCTTTCAATAACTCAGGTTCGCTCAGAGATGATGCCTTTTCCAGAACGAATTTAACTGAATACAAAGAAACATATTTGAATAATGTAATAAGATCTGTTTTCATGCAAGCAGTATCATAGTTAAATAAAAACATGTTTCTTTATTGTAATCTTGAAAGTTTCATTGAAAATATATTAGTGACAAATTATTCAAAACATTGTTCTTTAAACATATCATAGTTTTCTGTACTCTTTATACAAAATAACCATGTGGACACTATTAAATAAATAAACCTCATTGCCCCTATCCACTAACACAACCAATTAGACGGAGCATATCTAAGAAGATGCAAAATTATAACAATGTACACTCACTTATATCCACTTCTTCTGATGAGGTGGATTGCTCGTCTTCATACAGCACTTGGAACAAATTCTCCGGATGTTTCTGTGCCTCCTCTCGGCGATCACTATTCAGTTCGGTTTGATTGATTAAGCTTTTTCGTTGAGCTTCATTGAGTTTTAGTGATGCATCCCTCATAAACTTCCTAAGACATTCTAAAATGGAAATGCGAGTTGTATCTACAACAATATAATCAATCGTGAACTATGGTTTATTATGTATATTGTACGTGGGTTCTAGGTACTATATATAGGCAATATGAGGTTGTCAAACGCAGAAAAACACAGAACTCTCACATTACATGCTTTAACCTAAAAAGCCCTTTGGCTAGCGAAAGACGAAGGCAGAATTTACAATGATCGCATCTTCGACCAATGACACTCTGTGTGTAAACAACGGCAATATATTATATATATATCATTTAACTGAGACAGGCTCACGCACTCTTGCGTCTTCAAATTAATAAAAAACTATTTTGTATCCCACAATGTACAAACCTGAATTACTTGCATCTTTGATATATGAAGGTCTTTGGTCATGCTGTTGGCTGTGACTTGCAGAAGATCCGTTTGGTCTTGCTGTGGACCCTACAGTTGTCAATATTGGTTGTTTAGTATTTTGATATCCCTTCATAAAGCCCGTACCAAACACCGGCGTGGTCACCTTTTCACCTCCAAAGCGAAATTGGTTTGGATAGGATGATGCTGAAGGCACGTCTCCTTTGAATCCAAAGTAGGGGGTTTGTGGTATCTGGGTTGTTGAAAGCTGGTATGGATTTTGAGGTGTTGGCGGCTGTTGCGGTGGAGGCTGCGGTACCCCCCAAGAGACTACGGGCATTTGTAAGACAGTCTGGTGAATGTTTAAATTCTGCCATGGATATGGTTCCTCTACAAGTGTTGCTGGTAGCTTTCCGGACGTTGTTGTATGCAACTGTTCTGTACGTGTTGCATAGTTTACCGCCAATGCTGTTTGAGAGGACAAATTAGACAAATGTTGTGCTGTTGAAAATGCTCTCCATTTATGTCTTTCAAGTTTGCGGGTAATCAGTTCTTTTGCTTCAAGCAAAACATACACATCTTCCCGTTTCTCGGGGAATTTTTCAAAGAATTTTTCCAGAGTCTGTCTAAAGTAAGTCAGGACGCTACATTGATCCATCGAATCTACTGGAAGTTGTTTTGGTATTATTTCAGACATGCAGTAAGAAAGAGCGATGGCCTGGCGATTGATTGTTAGTTCTAAACCCAGTATTCTTTGTTGCTCTTGTTTAAGAGCCTTATGTCGTTGCAAAGAAAGAGCCAGTGAATCTTGTAATTCTCTCTCTAACCTCTTCTTCTCCCTCATAAACTTCGTGATTTCTTTGATGCTCGATAATGTGACTGGAGGTTTGTATCGTTCGCCTGTAATATAGCAACAGAACAATATTGTAATTCAAAACCTCTACATATGTCTTAAGGAAGCACGCACTGAGGTTTAAATCTCGTTCAAATCTCGTTTTGGTCTAGTGTATCCCGCCAGTTTTAACTGTAGCAAGTTGATTTTTATTAAATGCAGTTATTAATGTTAAATATTATGAAACTAACATAATAGTAGAAATGTGATATCTTATTAATAATTTCGTTTTACATAACATGAAAAATATCACAAAAAAATATACTAAAATATCAGAAGCACACTGGTATCTATTTTATTTGGCTGTTTTAGGAAGAAAAACAGGTTTTTGTTTGATCTATTATCAATATAAAAGAGTTAATTAATTGCAGAACGTTTTTATTTTATTCGTTAAATCGGCAAAAAATGGTGAGAAAATGAGATTTTCTTTTATTTTAAAATTTGTGGTAGTGGTAATCTTAATTTGTTTTTCTGAAATTTTAGTATAAGTTTAAGGAATTTCACTTCCGTTATTTAGAAGAAATGCTATTTTATCAATGGTGCATACACTCATAGATTTCTTTTAACCCACATAGAATATATTGGATGGATATTTTCTGCATACTTACCAAATATCACATACTATGTTACGTTGGTATTTTTTTACCAATCACAGCGAAAAAATAGGAACAAACAGAATATCTTTGTTTCCTACTATGTCATTGTTTCCAAAAATAGATATCAGGAAAAAATCTAATACTGAAATAATTTCACCTCTAAAGGAGTACATCCTTATAATGTGTTTGCTGGAGGTTTTAAAAATACCGCAAATAGATTTCAATATACAACTCAAACTAATTAAAAGTTCCAGATAATGAATATGCCATATCTTTATATACTTTATTTTTACCAAATCCAATCATTTAAATTTACAGCTGTATAGCCAAATAGAATATATTATTGTAAATTATGTGTGTTTATTTACCTAAACACTTGCAAGCATAAATAATGGAACTACTTTGTGGATGATTGTCTGTAATAGAGAAGACTAAGGCAATACGTGCCAATTATGACACGTTCAAAAGTTTGTTTTCACTAATTCATTTCTTTAAGGTCAGGGGTTATATAAACTCGGTTACATCAGTTGTAGTATATATCTCTGTTGTAGTACATATCAAAATAACGGATGAGAAAATGCTAAAATAAAAAATAATGAAGGAGTGTTTTGCGTAACATTTTCTTATTCTTAATCGAAGATAATCCATTCCCAGCAGTCATATCAATATTTCTGCTCTTCCGTATTAAAAGCAACAATGTAACTACAAGGGTTAAGCTGACTTTATTTAGAGATTTTGCAACATCAGTGGCTCATAGTCCCCGTTGTCGGTTATATCCACACAGATTTCAATTGTGCGATGATTCACAAAGCTTTCTCTATAGTGCACAGATCCGAGGTAAGTGAGTTGGTCTCAACACGGTTATTTTAATATCAAAAACATTTTATGTGTCACTAAGTATTTAGCAATATATTTGTTGCATATATAATTGTGCATTAAACCTACCTATGATGGAAACCTCCTCTTCACCAATGAAGATATAGTCAACATGCATCGATTTTAAAAGGCTTCTGTCTTCCTCTGATAAAGCCTTCAATTCACGCGTGTTATCAGTGGGAACCATAAACGTCACGATGATGCTGCTCGATGGTTCATAGCCAACAAAGTATACATACTCCACAGGGGTCAGTAACAATTCTGCCACGAGGTTGCGGAGATTCCTTACATCCTGCTTACTGGTGTTTGTACCAGCAATGTGAAATTTTAGGAATGTATATCCATTTTCTAAAAAAGAGAGACAAGAATGCATTCCAAACAACCTTTTTATTTCTTAGCGCCGTAGTTTACAATATGTCACGTTCGGCCTTAGCGTTGAACCTTTGCCAAAAAGGGGAAGGCGATGGAGTCTGTCCCTAGACCAAGACACATCAAAGTCTTCACAAATGGTTGTTGTTATTCATTGCTAAACCTTCAGCATTAAGGGAATTGGCAACAATTGTTTTACCTGTTGCCAGTATAATGTGAAAGAATGATCTAACGTGCCGGGCACCTTTACCATGATATTTAGGTGCAGTAGAACTCTAAAGGTTAGTTTAGTTTTACGTCCTATTAACAGCGAAGGTCATTTAAGGACGTGCCTCCATGAAATACCATGCAATAGGCACTCAGCACAGCATTCCCCCGATCACTTTATACTGACAACATGTGAACCAGTGGTTGTCATAACCCTTAATACTGAAAGTTAATCCTGGTCTAAAAACTACCATGTTAATGGACTTAAGTGTGTCTTGGCTTGATGACAGAATCCATGGCCTTCTTCACCTGAACGCTCATCATTAAAGCCAAAAGTGAGGTATTACTAGGAAGTTAGAAATAGAATGACATATAAAGATCCCAAATATAGCAATGGGTGCAGCAGATTTATATTGGTCGCTTTTGTGTCCCAAAGTAGAGGGCACAAAAGTAAATACCCAATTCTGCAAGGGGTTCTCGCATTAGTCGCCTCTAACGATACATACAGTGGGTAGCAGCAGGTGTATTCATTTTCTCGATCACCGACCTGCAGGGGTGAGAATTGGCATCATATCTGGGCTATCGGAAATCGGCCAATGCATCAAACATACCGTCTCTAGCACGCATACATATATGGAGGTACTTCATGGCCTTAATTGTTAATAGGAAGCTAAATCCAATCATTGAGTTCAGCTTCCTTTTACCGCATAGTGTCTTTTAAGGATGAGTGTCCATGTGTTTATGAATGTATAAGCCTCAATGGAACAGTGCGGATCTAATGCCGACTTTAGCTCACTGAAATACCATGCTGAAAGCAACAATCGAACTCCATTCCAAGGACATATGAAGGTGAGCGCGAGTGTCTAAGGAAGCTCTACCGAAAGGAATAAAAAATACATGTTTAAAGTATCGCTTTAGAGAGCACATCGAGTTTTCTACTGTGTCCCCTAGCCCGAAGCTGAAAGAGCTTATCTGTTTGCAATGAAAGTTACACATCAAACAGTGAACAACAAGTATCAAGGTTAAAGACTGGTTTGTTTCTGTAAGGAAAAAGTCCCCATCACCGTCTTCGCTTTGGCAGACATTCAAACCAAGGCACATTATAGGTTCTTCTCATCAATTTCAAGATGCAGATGCATGTTTAGGAGTATTAAATATATATATAAAATATAGGTCGTTTTTTCTTATGGTTTCTTTCTTGATTGACTTTGTTTAGTTTTGATATTGAGCTCGATTTCTTAGGTATGATTTTGCGGTAAGCTCATGTGGGATGATACTGTTTTAACTAATAATTTATTATCGATTTTTATATACAGGATTATATTACCTGGCTGCTCTTTAGGTGGAAAGAAATAAAGCGGTTGTTTCCGGTCATTTCTTGCAAAGTTTGCTAGAGTACCACACAAATCCTTTCGTCCAATCGTCCACAGCAATGCTTGGAGATGAAGCCAATTATTTGGGTCTAAACAAGCTCTGTCCCGCATTATGTCAAAGAGATCGGTAGCATCCTTTATCTTTTCTAGAACAGCTTTTCCAAGTCCATTTGTTCCTATAAAATAATTTAAACAAATTAAAGCGTTTTCTCAATCCATGGCCTATGACACAACAACTACCAATAAAATCATCCTAATTTGTTTCGAGTTTAACATCTTTGCAACAAGTAAGATTATATGAAGACGGTGTCCACAAATGGTGTGGCCGCTTTTAAGTGTCATGTTATTGACACGACATTACGTTACCACGGTAGAATGATACTCCTTCAGTCGGAGCAGCCGAACCAGAACTCATGCTAAACTATCAGAAACTGTTTGAAATTGTTGTTTGTTGTGCCCGACCGACAAAAGTGGCAAGTACTTAATTGGCGTATTATCATTACATAACCTTTCGTTCTAAATAAATCTAAATAACACTATACACATGATCTTGAAGATCTCCAGGGCACTTTGGTCTAATGGACACCTTAAAGGATGTTAACAATGTTTAAACTATGATTATATTTTATCTTTCGAAAATACTATTATTCCGCTGTGTTTAAGAAATAATTAATAACGGGGTATGTATAAAATCTCCAGTGATAAGTAAGAAAGTTTAGTAATTGAAACAACCTTTTGTAAGGTGTTTCATCCTCTTCAATTCCTCTGGTGTTATTTCTGATGCTATGTTGGAAAGGGTAACATTAAATGCCCAATCTTCTGTTATTAAATCGACGCGTTCTTCCATTTCAACGTCTTCCGTTTCCATTTTCTCAGTGCCTTTACTTTGTTCCATACCTGAGGTAGTGCCGTCAGAAGCTGCACTGAAATGAAACAAATGCAGTAATAAATTACCGTACAAATATTTCCCGATTGTCGGGGCCAGTCTTATAGTTTAAACTGGTTAATCACTCTTCCTTAATGTAATATTTCATTTCCCGGTTCAAAGCTACCTCACTGCCAATTTAAAATGCTGGTTTGTGTAGAATTTAACGTCCTCGCGACAACCAAGCTTATATGGTGACTCCACCAAAGACAAAGTGTAAGGCAGTAGGAAAAGAAATGTTTGCATTTATCACAACATATTGCCCCCTAATCAAAAGTCAATGAATAAAAACCCCGATTCCGTAGGGGTTCCAAATCAGTTCCCTCAAACAGAAAGCGAGACATTTCCGCCAAACAACAGTTAAGGTCCTGTAAGGACGTGTCTCCATGAACCTTGAACTTAAGCTTACACACTAATAAGACGCACGCAATAGATCGCCTTGCAAATTATATCTGAAAAATATTGAAAGAGTTACATGAGTTATATTATGTTCTTGATCCTCGACATGCAAGGGTTACCTCAATGCATTGATATGTAGGCAGATAATAGTACAGGGGCTATAGTTATACACTGTTAACAATTATCATCAAAGACCACGGTACGCTTATGCTTTAAAACACAGAGATTAAAGATACGATACAAAACTTATCACGTGTTATCTTAAAAGCATTTCATATGTTATAACAATAAATATTGCGTCTTACCTGTACAGTTTAGAGCGTGTATATTGCATTACTCTGTAGTTTTATTGTCTGTAGGTGATCATACCGGGTGGACATTGAATGAGCGCTCTGTTGCGTTACAGTCTGTTAAATGTGCGTTGTATAAAGTCGGACGTTATGTTCAAATTGAAGGTATTGACACGTAGAAAAAAGGCATAAAATACACCTATGCAATTTCACGTTCGCTAAAATTATCACAAGAAAATTGATTGTTTCCCTTGACAGACTAAAGTCTTAAAATGGTATTGTCCGAAAACAAACCACATTTCATAAAGCCTAAGAACTGTTCGAATGTGTTATCTTAAATATGCAGCTACTGATGAAGTCAGTGAATGTGAAGTAATTGTATAGTAATCGTGATCATATCAGAAATATGTGTTCCTCGTACATGAATATGTATAAACGTAGTTCAATACATTACATACATGGAAAATCCTTCCGGGTGTAACAATAAAGACACTGATATAAAACAAAAGTTAACACTACACTTAACTCATTCACCATTAAAGATTTACAATATTCAATAAGGTGCTTGATCATGTCACGATTAGGGAATTATTCTTTAAATAGTATTTACGTAGCTGGGGCAGGAACCGATTTGAAACTGTATGCTCTTTCGAAATGTTATTATTTCCGGACGCCATTACAGTAGATATAACCATAATCGTGAAAGTAGAGGTTGTGAACATTTGTGTTCCATACCTTCATGTAAACAGTTTATCTTCTAACACGACTACTTACCACTACTTTAACAATGAGGTGTCGAATCCACTACACATGATTTCACTCTGAATATCACCGTCCTGCTTCAACTTGAACACGTAGTCAATATGGAATGCAGCGGCTTTGCGCATGCCAACAATTTAACTACGTAAAGTCTTGTTAAATCAATAACCTGAATTTAAATTTTCGTTGCGGTTATGAAGAAATCCATCCATTGTTGAGAATATTTGCCAAATTTCGCTTGGAAACTTATTTAATTAAACTGTCAAACAACTGTCGTTTTTCTAAGATACAATAATACAAAACCAAGCTAATCGTTCTATCCTAAAGCCAATGAGACAGTACAATGTGTATCAGGTTTGTCCTACATATCAACACTGTCATATTACGCAATACAACCCGTGCAATGTATTTACAAGGTTTACCTCCCTTGTAACGCCAGTCAGTAATTTGCATAACGTATGAAGCATAAATATGCATATATATATATATATATATATATATATATATGTTTTTAAATTGTGTTGGGTTTTACAAAACTAACATGCCCCAAACTCGTTCTACAGCCTATATAGTTTCATCGATATACGCATTTAGATGCATTGTTTAGTAACAAGAGATAACGTAATGATTTTCGTGTATAAAAGACGACACCATCAGTACTGTCACAACCAACTGCAAGTTAAAGTTCTGAAATGAAATCTTCTACAAGGATGTATACTATACAATTCAAATATTTTGATTTGAGTAAATAATACATTGATATAATGATATGATCGACATAGATGGAAATAGCTGCGCGTATTACATGCAGGCTATCTAATGTATTAAATGTCACTGTCACGGATCGTTATCGTAGGTAAATAATTGTAATGCATGGGGAAATTATATAGATAACGCGAATATCTTGTCCTTATGCTCGTTGAAATTACCAGATCAGTTTACCATTTCGTTTTTATTGTTAACCGCCTAAATCTGTTCATGTGGATGGTGTTAGGGAAGAAAGACGGTATTGTTTATTAGATACATTCACAGCGCTCCATCTACTTTTACCATAACATTCTATAGGCAGCTGTGAAATGTTGAACACTGCATCAAATTATTTAAAAAAAACCCACGTTAATCTAATTTGATTTCCGTTTCGTTATTTTTTTGCCTGTGTTAAACGTGTTTATACATAATAAAACTGATGGAAACCATTTAAGAGCTATGGAACCCCAAACAATTTAACACTGAACGAAATCGGTTTAAGATAGTTCCACAGACGTCGTATGTGTGGCCAAACTCTCCTATGAGATTAACGTAACACACACACATATGAGGCACATGCATTTGGTAATCGATGCAGTAGGACAATATAGACAAGGTAAATGAACGAATACAACAGAACCAGGCCACCCCTAAGGAAACAGTCGTATTGAGATTAATATATACACTGTCCTTGAAAACAGATACAGTTCAGTCGCTATGAATATATAGTCACTGCTAAATTATCGACCACGTTACGGCGACAAAATGGAAAACATTTATGGGAACGAAAGTCAGTGTCAATGGAAGTGACATAACAGAGAATGATCTGAAATATTTGATTTCATGAGTCAATAACTACATACTGTCATAAGGATGTAGAGGGACGCCCTTAATTAGCTTTGGGTGTTAAATCTAGGCTAAACCTTGTAAACAGATACAGATACAGACAGTTTATTCGAGTCTCGTCTTCCGTATACAATATAAAATATACATAAAACATATGACGAAAGTCACTCTTAAAGAGTTACGAGAGACTAAAAATAAGTTTCAATTCATGTAAAAGCACTCCACTTTAAAAGGCAATTACTTTAAAAGGCTATAAGAGAGAGAAGCTAATACATGCCATTAAATTATATTGAAATTGCAAACTTCAATGTACAATAATCAACGATATATCAAACTATTACGACGTTTAAGGATAGCTGCTAAAACTTTGGCACTATACTTAGCACAGTTCTCGTTTGATAAACAAAGTGTACACATGTCGAAACAGGTAGTCCTTTTGATGGCCCTGTTAAGAACATTGACCCTCTGCTCCTGTAATTGAAAAAGGCCACGGCCTTCATTTTACCAAGATAGTATTGTTTTATTCCCGTCATGATATCAATATTAACCAAAGTTGGAGTCTAGAAATCCAGTCGAGATGGGTAGTAATGAAAGCATCAAAACATCAACTACAAACTGACCTTTGACCCATCTCGCTTCAGATTGTCTTTGCTTTGTTTTTGTACTGTTGTTTGTTCCTCCGACATTTTAAGACTTTTAGATTTTTTGTTTCTGCCTTTTTATTGTTTCACTGCCCATCCACAATGCGAGTCATTTAGGGCCAAACAACACTGTAAAAATAGATGTTCACAAAAATGAATACATCAAACTAGAAATAAAAAAGGTTAAAAGGTGTACCAATGTAAAATACATCAACAGTGCACGAAGTGGTTGTGAAATACATCTTGATTTGTTATAAAGATCAATTTAGCGTATAAAATCTGAATTGATTACACAGAAACTATATAAAATAAAGGGCCAAATTACACTTTAATATAGACATACATCGAAAAGGAATATATCTAACTGAACAAAGTTAAGAGGTGTGAAAAATGTAAAATAGGAAACTACACCAATAGCCAACGAAGGGTTTATTTAACATACCATATGTTATTGTCAAGTTCAATTGAGCGTAAACAGTCAAAGAGTATAATTAGAAACTACATCAAACACACTTTTATAACTGTCCATGTGCAGTCACTAGAGAAGAAATTTCTCTCTGCAGTCTGCTATACACATGAATACTAATATCAGACAGAATTGCAAGTAAGCGATTTATGTATCAGACCATTTATGTTAACAAATCGTTTTAATAACATTTACTATGGAAGCTTAAAATCAGAATGAGAAGTATCCTTTCTTCTGGTTGTAGACTAATGGCTGCTAAGAGCCCCTTCTACTTTCTCATTCCGACTAATTCCGCCATGACCGAACAAATGGGACCAGCGCGATATCAAAAGAGTAACACATACAGCAGTTTGGAATTACTAATTATGTATATGTGGTGATATCATTCTCTATTTCGGTTGTCAACATCTGTTCCGGAATAAAGTTCTGAAGAAATGATTTATTTCATTACAATATATCAGCTCAGTAGATAACAAACGTAAACAAAAAGTGAAACAGATATCGCGCAAATCAAGATTGTTACAGAAACCACGATAAAAGGAGCGATACTTGTTTATGATTCGAATTCTGTGTTCGTTTACAATGTGGTGAGTCAGTAAAAACTAAATTACAGAACTTGTTTACTGCTGTTTGATATAGGAATTTAATTATTTTTCCCCAACCTCATTAGGATTGCTAATTGGAGATTCGTTTCAGAGATGACGTACACGCGTCGCCATGCAATCTCTTTCTTGACCTAGGGAGATAGAACGTACGTCATTAATTACTAGACATATTTGTGTTGATGTCAACGTTCAACTGGATAATTTCTTATGTGCCGAATTACTAGTCAGTGAGGTATAATGAATGAATCAGAGCGTTTCTGCATGCTTTCTGGTACCTTTACTGGGATAAATATGAAATATTTAATCCAATATATTTCCATAGTTACAAATCGTTCTGAGATAATATATAATGCACTAATATTTACGTCTTTATCCATTTAGCTAAGCTATTATAAAACCAAAGGTGATCGGGAACATCACTGAATGTTTCACAACCTCTCTTAAGGAATTATTGGTCAATATTTATAGTCTATCAACCATACCTTTTAAGCAATCATCTTGACTAAAAGAAGCATTAAGAACATAATGAGTCAGGGCGATTATTCGTACATGAGCTCTGAGCATAGGCTTTGGTTTTTCCCCGGATCCATACCACGTATGTTTCTCTTTTTCTTTCCAGGATGAACACACAATCGTAATAATGTGACCACGTGAAGACACACTTGTCATTAATCGATTTTTTCTCATCATGCTGTCTGAAGTCCGGTACTGCTCTTTTGAATTGACACTATGCGTGATTTTTACTTGTGTATTCCTTTCGACTTACAGCGACTGTGAAATTGAGGCTTATATGATATTTGTAGGACAATCATTGTGTAAAATATTAATTGTTAGTAAACGTCTATAAAAGCTAAATTTGTTCTGAACACAAACAGGAATTGAACATTTCCTGTTCGTGTTCAAAACAAATTTGAGGTTTTTGAAGTAAAACCAATTTTCATGATGTAATACTAACCATAACTTTAGTATGGATATACAATACCTACACCCATCTTTGTAGCCCAAAAACAAAAGATTCAAATATCCCTACCTCCCTACCGTGACGTAACCCATATCTCGATGACAGAGCCACGGAGTGATCTCCCTTCCTCAAACCCCCTTTTATGGAGCCTAAAGGCAGCCGGAATGAGGAGGCAAGGGGAGGAATACAGGGTGGGACTCCATAAAGTTACCCAAAACCATCCGCAAGCTGGTAAGGGCGACCCAAGGATGGTTGCCCGCAGGCACCCGTATACCCTAAGCCAGGGGAAAACGGAGGCCGGAAACCGGCCCCCTGTCCAGCAAACCCAACACCTGGGGGGTTCCCCCCCAGGTTCCCGGAAGAATGAAACTCAGGACCGGACCTAATAGGACCGGGCCCGGGTAACTGACCGGGAGGGTACGCCTGACCAGCATTGGTGCCGGGATTAGTGAGCTGCGCTTCACTAATCCCGGTAGACACAGACAATCCCGAAAGAAAGTCACACCAGGACCTGAACCCGAAAGAACAGGCCCGGCACCAAGATTGTCCTCAACGACAGCACCACCTGGAATGCCGGGATCACTGACAGAGTCAGTGACCGGCGGCCGGTAGTCCCTACCCGAAGGCAAGCGCGAAAGCTTACGGGCGTTCCCGGCCAATTCGACCCTTGGCTGTGCCAAGCCAGGGTCAGGCTGCCCCTCCCCTACTCCAGGGAGTTCCTGGACAGGAAGGGCCACCCCCTGCTCACGAGAGGGACTTGCCGAAGCAAGACCCCCCGAGACAGGAACAGAGACAGTACCACCAGACCCCAGAGAGCTGGTGGCACGACCCCTACCTCTCTGCTTCCCTCGCTTACCGGAAGAAACAGACGAATCTGTCTTACGGTAAGTTGAGGGTAGCTTTGGAACAATGAAGTCCTTGCCCTGAGATTTTGACTGTGAACAAAGTTCACAAGGCGAAACCTCACTGCAAGGACGACACCTGGGACAGGCATCATGAGGGTCCCGTTCCACAAA